GGGTGGAAGAGTTTTTTAAGGTCTAAAATCTAAAAATAGCATTTATTCTGCAATATTGAGTTGGAAGGTGTTTCTGTATCTCTGAAAATCTTTTCTGTTAGGAAAAAAACACACATGTTTGACGAAGGAGGATGTTTTATTTTGTTTTCCCCCGGATGTTTACGGTTGATACATTTGAATTGTGCTTATGCAAACACTCCCAGATTGGTTTGCGTCATTGCAGTTATATATTTTGCTATTTTCTCTTTTTTTAATAGTAAAACATCACTAGAAGACCAATAGAAATACAGGTAATTTTGAGAACTTCCGGTTGCAAGGCTTCGGTGGCGGCAGGAATCCGCTTCTCTGCGGGTCCCTGCTGTGCTCGCCACTGAGGTACCCCCGATCCAATTGGATTTGGGGTTTGTCGCTGCCCCGAAGAGGCAGCGGAAGACAGCGGAGATCCGGGCAGGGGTCTGGGGATATCGCACCCCCTTTCCCCAGCCGGCTAGACTCCTTTTTCCTGAGGCGGTGGAGCGGCTGTCAGAGATGGTAGCCACATAGGAATCTTCAACCGGATAAGAGTTGTGCAGGAGGAAGAATCAGAAGGAGAAGTTTTCTTGGCTGAACCGGGACATTAAGATGCTTTTAAACACCCTGGAAACCTGACTTTTGGATTGATACATTTGTTTCCAAAAGAAGTTGTTAAAACGGCGAAAGTGCTGAAAGGAAAGTTTACTCCCCTTCCTTACGGAGAAAACAAATGAGCACTGAAAAACCTGCTGCTTTAAGGTAAAAACAAGCTCTTTGTTATAAGTGGGAAGGAGAGGACTAAAAAAAAAAATCTTTTAAAACTGGTTGGAGGAGACGCTTTGAAGATTATAAGACCAACAACTAATTGTAATACGGCTTTAAAATATATTTGGGATTTTGCCCCAGGAGGAAAAGTTGCAAAGAGAAGAAGAGGAAATAATTTCTGGCTGTTTGGATTGTTTGATAACTTTGACATTTGCAAATTACCTTAAGACTAAAAACATCTGGGTTGTTCTTAAAAATTTACAATGGCACCATCTCTGGATCAACTAAAAATGGAATATGAAAAATTAAAAGAAAGAGAACCAAATGGCAAGAATTCATTGGGAGCTGTCTTCCACTTTTTAGAAATGGCGGTTTCTACGTACCAGCAAATACTTGATGAAGAAGGAGAAGGAGAAGAAAAGGAAGCCATTTTTAATGGACAAAAAAATTTGATTAAGAAAGAAAATAGGAAGAGAGGAAGGAAAAATGAGAATTTAAGATTTAATAAAACAACCAAGAAAAAGAAAAATAAGGTGAAAAAAAGGTACAATGTTAGAAAGCAATTGAAAAGAGAATTACAACAGAGAGGGGAAGCTAAAAAGGTGGAGGTTAGGAGATGGGGGGGCAAAAAGATCACACTGGAGAAGAAAGGGAGGGAAAAGGGGGAAAAAGCCACGGTCTGGAACAAGATTTTTTTTTTAGAGATAAAGGATAAAGGATGTATAATTTAAGAAAGATTCTGCAAGAGTACATAAGATAGTATTGTAGTATTTGCATTTGAAATAGTCCATTGGAATATTATAAGATTTAACAAAATATTAAAATGTTTTATAATGATAGATTTCAATATTTAATAAAATATCAAAGAGAATGTGTAAAATGATTAATGTTTAGTTATACTATTAATAGAATTAGAATGGAAATTATATATTTAATTATATTATAAGTTTATTATTCTTTTTCTTTTCAAAATGCAACATGTAGAATGTACTAAGCAGAATCAGGATAGAAATTATGTATTATTTTAAGTGTTACTTTAGGGAAAGGCGTCACACCTTAAAAGTGATTACAGGGGAAATTCTTTTGCTAAAGAGAAGAGATAAATAGAAGATTGGAAAAGAACAGACAAAAGATACAAACATAATGATTCTGAAATAAGATGAAATAAACAAAATATAACTAAGAGAGTGAAAAGAAGGGAGAAGTTATATAGAAAATATAGAATGTTTAATAAGATATGAATGGTATATAAGGTGAGCACGAACTTGATTTAGGTCTGTCAAAAATGTAACCCGGGGCTAAGCCACTTTTCAAAAGAAGTTTTATGTTTTGTGTTTTGGTTAGCTATGTTTTGATTGTGAATTAATAAAACCTTGGAGGAATAAAACTAAAGGGAGAGAAATTTGGAAAAGACATGTATAAATAATAAGTAAGAAGGTTTTATCTTTTTATGTTTTGTTTTATGTTCTGTATTTTGTGTGTTTATGCTTGATGGAGAATTAATAAAACCTTGATAGAAAGAAATATAATTGAATAAAAGTGAAGGGAGAAACAATGAGAAATTTGGAAAAGATATATATGTGTTTAAATGGAAATGTGATAATATGGAACTATGCTTTAAAAATAATGCCTTATTTGCCTTGTTAAAATTTATAAGTAATTTTTGAGAAAGGAGGTTTTATACTTTGATGTCTTATGTTTTGTTTGTCTTTAAAATCAATAAAATTTGTTTTTTTTTTTAAAAGAAATACAGGTAATTTTGAAAATAATATATTGTAATCGTGCAGTTAATTAAAAAAAAAACCTAGATAAATTATAGTAAATAAACAACCACACCACCCACCCCAGAAAAAAAAGAAACCCCTCAAAAAACTATTGGCCATTGCAGTTATATTGGCTTGCCTGGGAGAAGAATTAGCAGTGTGCTATATTGCAGAATGTTGTAATAAGACAGCTTAGTGGGGCTGTGAAGTTCAAATGTCATATATCTGAACAATAAGCATAATAAAGGAAAGTCCGTACATGGATGAGCATTGTCTCTGGATAATGTGTTGGTTTCATTTTATTGCGGGCCCTGCAAATCAATGCTGTATGCTGGGTCCTGCATATAAGAAGGAAAAATACCCTTATGGTTTGCCTTGTGGCATAATAAGTATTGCAGAAGGGGGGGGGGAATTCTGGCAATGAGCCACAAATCATGTGCCGTGACTGGTTAAATAGTATCTCCCTTCCCCCAGCAAAACTAACCAGCGGTTAAGTGGGAGCAGGAGGCAAGAGAGCCAATTTTCCAGCAACCTGAAAGATTAGAACACGATAGTGGAACTGCACAACCCATGGGTATGTGGGAATTGTTTGGCTATGCAAGAAAGGGAAGAGGGAGCATAAATAAAGGTGAAATAGTATGGGGGAGTAGTCAGGAGTGAGGCATGCCAGCCATGGAGGTGGGGCGGGGTGTTGAGTTAAAGTGCCTAACGTCCCTGTCCTATTGTTTTTTTATTTTTCTGATAAGGATCTATCTCATGTATTCAAAACTATATTTATTATCTTGTAAGCGATTGACAAAACAGTTGTGTTGCCTTTGGGAGAGGCTGTAGGATTTCTGTTCTTAGAAACATTTTTGTGGAAAGCTTAGCAAAGTGTATAAAAGTGATAGTGACGACAAGAAGTCAGCAGGGGCCAAGTGGAGCATGATAGGAAAGTCCAGTACTCCAGCTTAAAAAAAAAGCTCTCCATTGCATGACATAAAGCAGTGGCCCCCAACCTTTCTTGAACCAGGGACCGGTTTCACGATTATTTATTCTTCCACGGACCGGTACCTGAGTAACGCGAGACTCCACCGCCATCGGGACGGCTCTTCATTCGAAGCCGCCGCCCCCTTCGACAAAACTAAGGCGCGAGCACCCAAACGCCACTTTCCAACTGAAAACCCGGAAGCACTTTCCAACCAAAAACCCGGAAGCAACCGAAAACCCGGAAGCGCTGTCGAAACAAGATGGCGGCGCCCAAGCTTTGTGGTCCGGTAAAAAATGATCCATGGACCAGTACCGGTCTGGGGACCGGTGGTTGGGGACCCCTGACATAAAGGGCAACTGGAGAAAGGCAGGCAGGGAGAGGACGGTACAAATGTCCACAGTACTCTGCCATCTTACTGCCCTGTTTTGCTGGGAAATAGGTTTGGGAGACTTGTGTAGGGCCTGAAGATGGGTTGGGGCTTTCTTTTGCTGTTCCTTTTTTGGACCCAACTGAGAGGTAGATTCTACTTTTCAAGGTAGTTATATTTTCACACTCTCCATCTTACAAGGATTACTGACTATTTTCATTCCTAAAGAGCTATGATAGTTAGTTTCAGGGGGCATCTGCAGGGCAAGTTTTTTTTGTGTTGTTTTTTTAAGGCAAAATTTGTGAGCAAGACAATGCAATTACACTTTTGGCGTTAGGCATCTGTTAGAGAGCCTGTTCATTAACTAAAGAAGAAAATTATAGTTTATGGTAGAGTAAAGCTTTTAAATGTAAGCTTAGGAATATTTACCTGAATGTCATACCAAACAAAACATTGATTTTCAATTCCTTTTTTTTTCTCCTCGGATACTCGATATGAGTAAAGCCTATTTATGCAAGTCTGTTATTTTTAATAACAATTTATTTATTATTGAGGTTATTGTTTCTTAGTTCTCTGTAAGAGTCACTTTTACTTAAAAGGTGAGATAATTCAACAATGTTGAAAGTTAACGGAGAACAAATTTATATTAATTATGCCCAGCACTGACATAAGATTTTCGTGCTTTGGACTCCCTTAGCTCTTATTCTGGTCTTGAATTTTAGCTAATAAACAATGCAGTCCTGTTTAGCTAATAAACAATGCAGTCCTGTTTAGCTAATAAACAATGCATGTTTAGTTGGCAATGGCATTCACCTAACATGTTTCTTCTGAAAACTTTATATACTGTAAGGATGCGATGCAGCCAGAACTAAGTTTCTTATTTGCAAGCTACTTGCTAACAACTAAAATTGAGAGTAATAATATGTGATGTCGGTGCCAGTTTAAGGTTATATGACTGTAGGCCACATTGACTGATAGTGCCACCTGTGAAGAATGCAAAGATTTATGTTTTTAGAATGATTTGGAAAGAAGGACAGCTTTGGCACCCAAAGATAGTACTTATTTGGCCTTAGCTTCAAGCTGCCACTGTACAAGGAAGTGATTCCATTTTCTTTTCTTGTAGGTTCGAGAATGGAAAGCAGAAGGCCAAAAAACATATATGTGCACAGGCCGTCCTGGCTGGCTTACAATGTCTCTTCGTATTGGGAAGTACAAGAAGACTCTAAAGAACATCACAATCAACCTGATGGATATTTTAGATGTAGACACCGAGCGACAGGTACCTTTGGGGTTTTCCAGAGGAAATTGCTTTTGAGCTGAGCAAAACAATTAGTCCATTGTTGTGGGATTGCAATTGCTTTCTTCCATGATGGTTTTTTTCCCCCCAGCTCTGCAATTACTTTCAGCTCTGGACTTCTGGTGGTCTCTGTTTTCTAGTTTTATAATAATTCTTTTTAAGAATTGTACGTGATCCTCTTAAGTGTGGTACGATCCTAATTTTCATAAGGGCACTTGCTATAGTCCATAGTTCTATTTTCCAATCCCTTCCTAATGATCCCAAGAATAGTATCTGCCCTTTTTATATTACAGATACACACTGGGTGGACATTTTTCATCAAGCTGACCACTATGATGTCAGGATCCTGTTCCTGATCAGTCACTTCTAGTTCAAATCCTATTAATGTATAGGTTGTTGTGCAAATAAAGGAATTGTTATGCAGACTGATGGATGTTATCTAAGCCATAAAATGTGTTCTGTTCTAGGTTGTACGGGTGGAGCCTTTGGTATCAATGGGACAATTAACAGCACACCTGAATCGTATGGGCTGGACTATTCCAGTGGTACCAGAACTTGATGATCTTACAGTAGGTGAGAAGCCTTGGAACATGGAAATCAGGACCACTCCATTTATTAAACTACTTGGTCATAACTTTACATACGAGAATGTTAAGCATAAGAAGTTCCATGCCTATATGATTTCTTTTGTTTTCCTTGCTGTAGATACTCTTGTTCTGAACTACTGTTCTGTAAAGTTTGGCATGTATTTCAGCTCATTCTTGATTATGGTCTCTTGCATAGGTGGTCTGCTCATGGGAACTGGCATTGAATCTTCCTCTCATATCTATGGATTATTTCAGCATATCTGTGTGGCCTGTGAGCTTGTTCTTGCCGATGGCAGCCATGTGAGATGTACCCCGGTAAGAAATTATGTTCCTTTGCCATGATTTAAGAAGTTACGCCAGCTCTATTTTGAACCAGTTCTGCTTAGCGTGGTGTGCTTTTTGCAGGAGGAGAACTCAGATTTATTTTATGCAGTGCCTTGGTCTTGTGGCACATTAGGCTTCCTGGTTGCAGCGGAAATAAAAATGATCCCATCTAAGAACTATGTGAAATTACACTACGAGCCCGTGAGAGGATTGAAAGCCATCTGCAAGAGATTTGCTGAAGAATCAGAAAAGAAAGAGAATCATTTTGTAGAGGGCATTGTGTATTCTTTGGAAGAGGCTGTCATAATGACTGGAGTTTTGACCAATGAAGCTGAGCAAGAAAAGGTAACCTAACTTTATTATCCTTGTCAATTAAAAAGAGGCACAGGAGACAACGACAACATTTTATCTGTTGAAAAAGCAAGTTGTTTCTTCTAAAAACTAGAGACTCTATTTATACTGTCAATGCATGTTTATGTAATTGTAAAGACTTTGTCTCCCCCAAGTGTTTCTCAAATTTAAGATACATGGACTTCGATTTCTAGAATTCCCCAGCCACTATGGCTAGCTAGGAAGTCTACACATCTTGAAATTGCCAAGTTTGAAAAACATTGCCCTAAAATTGTTTTCTATTGTTCCATGCAGAATAATTCTAAAGATCCTTTAGTGCTGGGGTATGGCTTTTAAAACTAACTGTGAAGTAACTAGATCTAACGTCTCCAGCAAGTCAATGTCTATGCTGACAGGGGGACAATAGAAGTGCTTGTCAGAAATCAAGTTAGAAAAACCTAAGCTAAATGAATTAAAACATTCTTAGCTCTCTGCAAATTAAAATTGCGATACTTGTCAAAGACAGTTGAATTGCAATATGGGAGGAAAGGCTTGACTAAGGGAGCTTATAATGATTAGAAGAGTTAACCCCAGCAGGCCTTTTCATCATTTGGTGTCTGCATTTTTGTGGGTGAGATACATTTAGTGTGAAGGTCCAGTAATGGCATTCAGAATAATCATCATTTGTGGAAATTAGATGCTGCCTGTTCTGACCAAGGCTTCTTGAGACAGTAACAATCACATGTTGTTCCCCAAAACCTTGTTTTTATTTCAGCGGCTGTGAATTATATGCATTCACAGCCTTTAATGAGTCCCAAACAGTTTATGAATAGTCAAACAGAAGTCTGCCACAGTCTTTCGGGATAAGGCTGATAAGCACCCACCTTTATGTTCCTTGAAATGCTGCCAACGACTAAATTGCCAATTGGCTGTACAAGGCCAAACGGAGCACAAAGTCAACATGGAGCTTCAGATTTTAAACTGACCACAACAATCGAAATTGCTTCCTGCAAAGGCTCATGTCCCTTTGCTCCTCCTTTATGTCTTATGGGAGGAGCCAATCATCTCCAAGCCTTACTCCTGAGTCGCCCCTTTTGTCTTAACTGTTCTTGCCTTCTGGCAGCTCTGCACAAGCGCTCACTGGGAACAGGCTCCCACCGTTCCTCTGCCTCGCTGATGTCAAATTCTGGAGGCTCCAGAGTCAGCACATAACTCTGGCCCTGGCCCCATCACTATGTCATACGTAGATCCCTTGTCCGAGTCCTCCCCGAGAAAACAGGACGGGCCCATGTTCCTCCCCACTGTCCGACTCTGCTGCTACCTCCGCAGGCCGCTGGCAGACCACAACACAATATTAATCCTATACAATCATGTATTAAATGTGGTGGCAAACAGAATGCATTGTATTTTTGGTGCATTATGTCAATAGTAGAACGTTGCCTCATTCTTAAAACACATCTTCAATTAAACTGTAACTTTGTAAGGCTATATCATTCAACAGAATTATATTTTCATTATTTCCCTGTTCTTTCCATCAAGGTCAATAGAATTGGGACGTACTACAAACCATGGTTTTTTAAGCATGTGGAGAATTATTTGAAAGCTAATACCACAGGAACAGAATATATTCCAGCAAGAGATTATTATCACAGGCATACAAGGAGCATTTTCTGGGAGCTCCAGGTGAGGATCTACATGTAATTTATTATACTGTGGATACTTAAGACCAGCTTTTCTGTCAGCCTATCCTATGGATACTTCCTATCTTAATTATTAACTCACTCTGCAGATTTATATGGCCATGTGTATTAACCAACTAACTCTGGGTGGCTGACAAGATTTAAGAAACAAAAACATACAGTATATATAAAAACCTTAAAAATAAAAGCACTGGGGGAGATATATTTTGCAGAAGTCTGAAATGAGTTTTGAAAAGAGCTAGGTGAAGCCGCACTGTCATTTTACTTCATTCTCACCCAACTCACCAGCAACAGCAGAGCAGCATATAGAAATAGAAACGGAGGCATAAAACAAGCACAGATTTGAAGGGGGGGAGATGGTTTTCTTCATAGAGCAAAAGATGAATTAACAAGGGACTGCACATCTCACCCTACTCAGTGCCTAGGGAAGGAGCTACAGCTAGTCATGGAGAATTTTTTTAAAATACTGACTAAAGTTGCTGATGTATGCAATTATACTTATTTTAAGTCTTTCCTTTTCTTACTCTTAGCATTGTTTCCCTTACAGGACATCATCCCGTTTGGCAATCATCCAATTTTTCGCTGTCTCTTTGGCTGGATGGTTCCTCCTAAAATCTCCCTTTTAAAATTGACTCAAGGTGAAGCCATGAGAAAGCTCTATGAGCAGCACCATGTGATACAAGACATGATGATCCCCATGAAGAGTCTTGAACAATGTATTCAAACTTTCCACAGTGTCATTAATGTAAGACCGGCTTTCCTAAATCCAAGACGGGTCATGGGAGCAGAAATAAGATTGGTTTCTTACTTCATACACGTGTCAACTCATAAAATATTTCTATGGTCTTTTATAAGATTATTTCTGTAAAAACCAAAAATAATTAATGCTTAAAATAAAGCCCTTCTATCAATGGTAGGATTCAGAAAGCACAAAAGTGGTTTCCACGAAATTAATAGAATAGCAAATAGCTTTTAGACTTACATACTGCTTCGCAGTGCTTTAGAGCCATCTCTAAACGGTTTACAGAATTGGCATATTGCCCCCAACAGTCTGGGTCCTCATTTTACCAACCTCAGAAGGACAAAAGGCTGAGTCAGCCTTGAGCTGATCAGGATCAAACATGGAGCAGAGCTAGCCTGCAATAATGTATTCTAACTACTGCACCCCCACGGCTCCTAATGCATCTTTTTCCTCTTTTCTGTAGGTTTATCCCCTGTGGCTGTGCCCATTCATCTTGCCTCACAATCCTGGAATGGTTCATCCAAAAGGAGATGAAGAGGAGCTCTATGTAGATGTGGGAGCCTATGGGATGCCGCAGACAAAACACTTTGAAGCCATGGCGTCCACCAGGCAATTAGAAAAGTTTGTGAGGAACGTTCATGGGTAAGGATCTAAACCCTGGGAAAAGAGTTGTTTCTAGTCGTATGAGAGCTCTCTTTTGAACTCTTAATTACCCATGATTGCACCCCATTATTTTGCTATTCTGTACAGTAGTTCAAGTTTGGTTCTGCGGCGCACTTGCTGGGACATGCAACTGAATGAAAGGTTTGGTTGATTTGCTAGAACAAAACATGGACATCAACTCTGATCGAGTGGCTTGCCCTGTTTTGCAGACAAAGGTCATTGTTGCCTTCTAATGCCACAGCTCTACGATCTTGCTCATTTCCTTTAGTTTTCAGATGTTATATGCAGACTGTGTCCAAATGAAGTCAGAGACGCTGACAGAAACTTGTAGTTTTATGTAAATAAATATATTTAATATCTATATTTGCAGCAGACAAGATAGTCAGGCACATCACTTCAACATGAGGTAAATTGTCAGGTAATTCACAGAACGGCATACAGAACACACAGAATAAAAAGGCGGGGGGGGGAGGGAAACTCCCCCTTTATACCCACAACCAATCACAATGTAGATTGCCTCATGGAAGAGCCCGTGCTCTCTAACCAATCAACTACAACCATGTGTTCTGGCCTATTATACACTTTTCTGTTCCTGCTATTAAATTAAATATCTTAATAGTCACCTTCTAACGCAAGAACTCTTAACATCTTTCTTATTTCCTTTAGTTTTCAGATGTTATACGCAGACTGCTATATGACCCGCGAAGAATTCTGGGAAATGTTCGATGGCTCCCTATATCACAAACGGAGACAAGAGCTTCAGTGTAACAAGGCTTTTCCTGAAGTGTATGATAAAGTGTGCAAAGCTGCAAGACTTTAAGTCCAACTGGTCTATGAAGCATCTGGGAAAATTTGAGTCTAAATAAAAACTATTTCTTCTGCTCCTTTCCAAACCCCCCCTTGTTGCTACTTCAGAGACTCCAAAATGTGAAATTTAGAAGGAATACTTCTGCCTTTGTATGAAAATATAATTGGTAGTATTTGTCTTAAAAACGTGTATGCTTCTTTATCTTCTTTCTAGGAATTTCCATTTTTGACCACTGTGGTTTAATAATAGCTTAGGTATAGATTGATATATTTAGTAGAAGGGGAATAGAAAAATCAGAATCTTAAAATAGAAGAATAACTTACTATAGATAAATAAGGGGGAGATGTATGCCAGGTCTGCTATTACAGATGTACATAGGCTCTTTCTGAGAGTTGTGCCAAATAAAACTGCCTTTCTAATGTCACAGTTGCCTATATCAGATAGGTTTCTTTGCCCAGGGTTGAAAAGTCATAATTCGCAATAAAGTCATAATTATAACCTGTCTGAACGCTTTGAATACTATGGATTGGAGACTATTTTTTTGAATTAGTGTATGTTCTTTACAATTCCTTCTCTCTGTGTCTCTCATTTTGTTGACATTTTTTCTTTTGACAGTTTTCATCAAAGTTTATGTGCTGCAGGAAAAAAAAAAAGTCTGTTACAAACATGTGCCCAGGAAGAAGACAATTTTAAAAGTTTTTCCCCCCCTTGTTTATAAATGTTACTACTTTTCTTGCCTTCCAGTAATCTGTCTCTTGGATTATGAATGCTGGCTTAACAGTTTCATAATTGTATTTCTCCAAAGTAAAAATCTGTACTTCTGTTTTAATTGTAAAGAGGGCTATCAGTAATCTGATATAAATAGCAAAAGTATTATATTCATTGTCAGGTCAACCTATTTTATGCTTACGTTGTTCATAAAATTCATGGTAAAGGTAGTCCTTGACTTACAACCTCAATTGAGCGCAAAATTTCTGTTGCTAAGTGAGACAGTTGTTAAATGACTTGTCCCCTATTTTATGACCTTTCTTAGCACAGTTGTTAAGTTAGTAACACGATTGTTAAGTGAATCTGGCATTCCCATTGACTTTGCTTCTCAGGTGGTCATAAAAGGGGATCCCATGACTCCAAGACATTATGAACTAGTTGCCAAGCATCTTAATTTTGATCACATGACCATGGGGATGTTGCAACGGTTGTAATTGTGAAAAACTGTCATAAGCTACCTTTTTCAGTGCGGTTGTAACTTTGGTCATTAAACAAACTTGCAAGTCAAGGACTGCCTGTTAGTGGTGGTGAAGGTTTATATGGTAGATGGTAAATTATTAATAGCATTATATAGAAGTATTCCTCCCCCACTCCTTTTTCCATTGTTATTGATATTACAGGATTTGTCATAATTTTTCTTCTGCTGAGATTGTTTAGTGCCTTAAATCACCTGAAATAAACTTTGTTTTAGGCCTTCTTGTTTTCAGGAATACAATAGATGTGAGAAATGCTTGAAAAAAACTACTTGGAAGGTAGATCTCTTTAAGCTCTTCCTACATAATACTTAACATTACTGGTAAAGACGGCGTTGCTGGGAGCTTTCACCATCAGACAAATACAACCTACTGATATATCAATTTTTATAATTATCTGGATGTTGTTGATAATCGAAACACTTGAAACAAAGCTGTTTGGAATAGATAACAGTATTCTGAATTTTGTCCCGTATTGTGGCCAACTCTTATTTCAGACTTGAGATAGTTTACACTCAAACCTTTTTGCATATTCTTCCTCTGCTTTTTGACTGAGTGACAATAGATGAGCTAGAAAAGTATCTCCTGCATAAATGTATTCCTATAATTTAATATTACAGCAAATAGGTGGTTGGTTGGCCCTAAGAACACCTGATGATTACATGATTTTAAAGGGTTTTTATTTGAGATTTGTGCATGTTTTAATGTCACCAATATTAACCAAAATTGGATCCAAGGACTAAGATATGCACAGTTCTAGCAAAGAATACATTATTTGTACTTAATACTTTGATGAATTGTGGTCGCCAACCAAAGGACCAGGGACCACTGGTGGCCCGTGACAAAATTTTGGTGGTCCACAGAGAAATGTCACCCCCACAAAGACTCATTTCTGGTGGAGTTTGGGGAAGAGAAAGAAAGACTTATGGTGCTTTCCTTTCCCTGCTTTCCTTGCATGAAGCCAAAAGCCCCCCCCCCCCCCCCCTGAGAACAGGGCTGGAGACGGTATCCTGTGATCTCAAATAGTAATCGATCGGTAGGAAAACGGGAATTTTCCTGCAGAGTTTTTTTGGGATTTTCCCAAGGTCTCTGCTGCTTTCTGGAGAGACCCTGGGAAAACGTCAACAAGCCACCATCAGTCAAAATTCATATTAGTGGTCCGCGGGATTTAAAATTATGAGTTTGGTGGTCCCTGACGTCCAAAAGGTTGGCAACCCCTGATCTATGGCATCTTAACATCTAAACTGTCTATGAGTTTTAAACAGTTGTTGCTATTTAATGGAGAGATTGGTTTAGAGCAGGGGTCTCAACCTCAATTTCATAGAGGGCCTCATCAGAATTGTGTTTGACCTCAGGGGGGACGTGGCCAGCTCGACATCACTCATGTTGGCCCAAGTGCTCTGCCAGTGAGAACGGGCTCCCAAGCTTTGTTTTTGTCTGCACTGGCCTCCTACAACCCTCTGCCAGTGAAAACAGAACTCGGGAGGGCCGCCCGTAGCCCTCCCAACTCCATTTTCACTGGCAGAGGCACCGTGGACCGGTCCTTTTTCCAGGGCGGCCCCGCAGGCCAGTTCTAAGCACCCAGTGGGTCGAATATGGATTGTGGGCCTTGAGTTTGATACCCTTGGTTTAGAGTGAACCAGTAAGAACATATTTTAGACCAGAGGTTTCCAAACCTGTCAACTTTAAGACATGTGGACTTCAACTCCTAGAATTTGTCAGCTATGCTAGCTGAGAGATTCTGGGAGTTGAAGTCCACAAGTCTTAAAGTTGCCACGTTTGGAGACCCCTGTTTTAAACTAATTCAGAAATAGTTCATATCCATGTTGAAATCTAAACATTCCTTGAGAGAAAAACTTGCTTACAACTTTTCTAGTGCCTTCCCAGACATCTGAGAACCATTCCCATACGGTGGAACCTATAAAATATCTGCCTAACGACACCAGAGTATCAGGCATAAGTTGAATGTGGAAGCAAATCAGAAATTAGACTGAGCTCAATATTTGTGCGTAATTTCTGAAATATGCCTCAGGTTATTTACAGTAAGATAAGTAAAGGGGTACCTTGGTATTCATTGCTAATTGGTTCCAGGAGGTGCAATGAGTACCAAAAATAATGAGTACCAAACAAAGTTTAGTCATAAGGAATAATGTAGTGAATCACAAGTCCACTGATACCGACAGGTTCTAGCTTGTGCATTGAGTATCAAACAATGAGTACTGGAACAAAATTTTCATGTCAGGATGTGTTAAATTCAACAAGTTTCAAAGCAGCTGAGTATCAAGGTATTACTGTATCTGCAAGTTTGATTTTTGTTGCAACAATCCTAGCACACTATTCCAATCATGCAGGTAAATAACAACAGCATCAGTATACTTTGTTTTGCAATTGTCAGTGATGTTGTACTGCTGCACTTGGGCAGAACTTGTACTATTTCCTTATAATTACAGCTATGGTGTGCCTGAATAAAATTGTATGGACAGTATTTTTTTTTCCTTTATTGTACATTTAATATCAAGTCATTTGGTGCAATGAAGTTCTATAGGTATGTCATGGATCTGCAATCATTCCTCTTAGTTAATATTTAATTTAGGAAAAAGTTGATTTCTTATCTTTGATTTTTTTTAAATCTATTGATTTAAGGCACAATCCTAGGCAAAAATGTATGAGATTAAGATGCCAACACTAATTATTGTATATATATGCAGTTGCTAAGTTAGTATCGCGGTTGTTAAGTGAACCTGGCTTCCCTGTTGACTTTGCTTTTCAGAAGGTCACAAAAGGATATCACATGACCCCGAGACACTGCAACAATCATAAATACAGGTCAGTTGCCAAGTGTCTGAATTTTGATCACGTGACCTTGGGGATGCTGCAACAGTCATAAGCTTCTTTTCAGTGCCATTGTAATTTAGGTCACTAGACAAACTGTTGTAAGTCAAGGACTATCTGTATTACTTAATATTTTAAGTGTCTGTGTGTTAAATAACAAAGTGCCACTGATATCATTCAATATTAAGTTCCAGAGCAGTGTTGTTTAATCTTATCAACTTTAAGATGTATAGACTTCAACCCCCAGAATTCTCCAGCTAGAAAGCTCCAGAGGGAAGCATGAGAACAAAGGAAGGATAGATTCAAAAAGTACAAATATTTATTGGGGATTAATGGTTCTCGTATAATTGTCCATGAAAAACCCAGTCCCCTTTCACGATGACTATTTGAGGAGGGGAGGCACAATAGAATAAAGCAGAATACACATTTTTTTTGTCAATACACTGATAAACAATACAATACACATTTTTTTGTCATGGGCTGCAATCCAGAACAAAACCAAAATGTTATGCAATGTGCTTAAGTTTAGTATATTAACAGTTCTTTTATAACTGGCTGAGACGGGTGTAATAAACAGTAAAAACAATATGAAACTGGGGAAATAGCTTGTGACCCTGGAGCCTTGAGTATGTAATAATGGATAAAGCTATCACTATTGGAATACAAGCATGTTTCTGATCCAGGGTCAGCCAAAATATATCCCTATTTTTGAAGTCCATCTTCAGCCAAGATATCCTCCCTGTCAAGGGGTTTTGATTTGCTTTTGATGTGTGCATTTGAATTTATAGCATTGGCATCAGTTCATCAGACCGTCCAGAGATCATTAATCCATGTTGATAATCCTTTGTTCCTTTTTCTCAAATGAGGATCATTCTAGGCAAAAAGGAGTGCTAAATTCCATTAGCGTAACTGCTTTTCAGGCAATTATTCCTTGGGGTTCTGGGGGAGAAGTTTAGCTGAGGTGGCACTTATCATTTGCCCTTCTGCTCAAACCCCAGTTGTGAACATCCATAGTGGGATTTTATCTATTTACACATATTTTGAATCAATTTTGGAACAGATACACCACTGGGTTGCCGTACCTACCACCCACCCATGATAAAACTGCCTTTGATGCTTTTCAACTAGAACAGGAGTCAAGCTCACTTTCTTAAACTTAACCTGTGTAGATGTAGGAGCAAGCTGAAGGAGGTAAGATTGCCTACCTTCTCCATTTTAAAAGTAAAATTGGGGTTGGAGAAAAGTAGTTCTTTCCATGTAATACAGCTTAGGAAAGTCCTGTGCTGTTCATTATGGCTGTTCAATGGATATGAACTGATAAATTCAAGGTAACACAAGAAAATATAACAGCTTGCCAATAATGCTTCCACTGAAGTAGAAATAATGTATACAACATTACTATGCATTATTTTTAAATGGGAAAACAGTAATTTCTCTCCACCAGATACAGCCCATGACTTGATCTTTTCCTATATAAGTCTGTTTTGATTTTTGAAAGCTATGGATTCTAATAAGACCCTGTTGTTAAAAATTAAACATTGAACTGCAGTTTCCTTATTGCATTACAAA